GACGCTGCCCTGGACGCTCTTGTTCTTGCGCTGCTTGTCGTCGAGCCAGGCGAGCTCGCACCCCTCGAGGAGGGTGCCCCAGTGCAATGCCAGGAACTCTTCGTTCCGTGTCTGCGCGCAAGAGGGGGGGGTTGGACAGGGCCAAAGGCAATGCGATAGCTGCGCTACTTGTCACGCACCTCTCTTGCTGCATGCATGGCATTGCGCCCTCCTAAGCTGCTAAGCTGGACAATATGCGGCGCCCTGGCCCCCTTGCACGCCCCCCGCTGTGACCAGGCCCCTAATTGCTTTCCATGGCCCCCCCTGCCCCACCCACCCTCGCGCCTCGTCGCCGTGCTGGCACACCCAGGCCCCGCCCCTCAAGTCTGTAAGGATGCCCACAGATTCCACCGAGGCCTTCCGCTGCAAGACGGACGCCTTGTCACCTGCCCTCCCGTGGAATGCTCTCCAGGAGGCGCTCTGCAGATACTCGCAAGAGGGGGGGTCGAAGCGGCGCCAACGCCTCTGGCCTGGCACGGATTCACACTACCAAAGATGCTCGGGCACTAAACGCACGGGAGAATGAGGGGCTCCAACACAAACACACGTCTCAGAAAAGGAGAGCGTCCCGGGGCAACGCTCTGGCGATTCCGACGCTGCGGTCTCTCGCGCCCCCGCGCTCACGAGCCCCCTACTCCTCGAATCTCTGCCTGCCCCAGAACCTTCCACGCGTCGGGCGCGCAGCGCCCTCGCGAACACCAGCGAATGCGCGCAGGGGCGATCGGACTTAGATGGGGCATGCGCCGAAGGAGAGGTTGGGGGCATGAGTCAGTCCAGGGCTTCACTACTGCACCTGAGTTCCCCTTGCGCCTGGTCTGGAAAGCGGCGGTCTGAGCGGGTCGGATGGGCAAGGAGCGAGCAGCGACGACGAGAAACATAAACTCGCGGCTGCCCCTGTCCCCTTTCCCCTTTCGAAGCCGAGCCTCTCTTGTTCAGCGAGTGCCGCTTGACCGCCCAGGTGCCCTGGGACGTGACCAACACCAACTTGTAGTCCCGGTGGACCAGCACGCCCAGCGTGCCATCCACCCGCCTGCGTCGGGGCGAGGGGCTGCCACGGAATGGGATGCGTTGTGGGTCAGATAGGGTTAAGGCGCGAAGGTGGCGAGTGGCAATGCACACAGGAGAGCGCAGCCCAAGGGGAAGAGGGGGCATGGACTCTTCTTGGCAGGGTGAATGGCGAGCGGGTGGCAATGGCGACGACGTTGGAGAAGGCGGGGAGAGGACATGTAGGTCAGAGGGCGGGAGGTTGCCAATAGGGCGAAGGACGGTGGTTGGATGCAGTGGCTGAGAAAGGAGCAGCAGTAAGATGAGAAATGGATGGGCACGTTGCGAAGGTCACGTAGAGAGGGCACCCACTGGCCAGATGCGAAGGAAGCTGAGGAGGAGGCAAGTGCGGATCTAACCGATATGCGCTTCGCGACCTGCACGCAGGCTGGAACGCTGGGGCGGAATCGCCAACATGCCATCACCATATCGCGCATCGCGGGGGTGGTGGAGGGCGGAGGAGCACACGCATGCACTGCACTGCCATTGCTGAGCTGCGCGCCTCAAGATGTCCGCCGTCGATGAATCGTCCGTGAAGATCTCCTTGATGTGCTTGATGTTATTCGCCTCCCCCGTCTTGAACAAGTCGGCCTCGCCGAACCCGTCCCTGAAGGTAGCCATGGAGCCAGCGTCGCTGCTCGCCGCCATGATGCCACCTGGGGCGGCGCCAAGCATAGGAAACGCAACGCGGCCCACTGCGAGCACGCACAGCGCATGCCGCATGCCCCAGACCAAAGCCCCCCGACCGACACGAAACCCCCGCCCCGTTCCCAAACAGCGTCTGCGCCACCCTCGTGGCTCGCGGCGCCGACGCACGGAAGCTCGCTGCAAATGCAAGTCATGCCCCCGCCCTTCCCCCCCCCTCGGTGCCCCCCGGGGGCCCTTGAGCAACGATGCCTCTGTGAGGGCGCTTCGGGTGTGGGGGGGCTCTTGGGCGCCCCACGGGGGCAGCGGCCGCAGAGGGCCCCGAAAGGGGCGACAGGAAAAGCAGAATGTCAGGATCTGTTTCCATCAACTTCCACAAACACCCCACTGCAAATACAGATTCGGCGAATGTGTTGGCGGACAGCCGCTCGTGAAGATTGCGCAAATGTGCGAGGCGTGCGCGGAGCGCTTCCGCGCTGACCGCACTGCCCGAGTTTATTTGTCCGCGCGCGCGCAGCGTGGCTAAGCGCATTGCGATCAGGCAAGCGATCCAATACACGCCCGCGCGCGGACGCGGGCCCGGGCGGTTTGCGCCGCGACTTGGCCGGGCAGCTTCATCGCCAGGGCAGCCCCTGGCTTGCTGGCATATGTGCGCGCGTTGCGACCGTTTGTAGCCCTGCCATGGGCGACCAGAGTCGCCTTGCATTGTCACGAGCGGCCGACGCGCGACGCAACTCCGCGACGTCTGCGGCGCACAGCGCGCAAACAAACAAAAAAAGGAGGCGGGGGACTAGCAGCAGGGGGGGGGGCAGAAGGAGGAGGAGGGCGGCAAGCAAGTGGAGGAAGAGAGGGGAGGTGGGGCATCGGTGGGCGCGATCGGGGGGATGGGGTCGAGGAAAGGTCGGACCCTGAAGATCTCCCACCTGGTCGCACCTGGCCGGCCCCGCCGCCCCGTGACAGGCGGATTCTGCCTCGCACGCCCTGGGGCCGCGCGCCGATGGGGGGAACAGGGGAGGGCCTGCATCGCAAGCGGGCGCTTCGTCTCGAAGGGGCCTTCACTGCAGAAAACGAGGATGCGGAAGACGGCTCGCGCGCGCGCGCATCTGTCCATGTGCGCGCGTACGCGCGCATGCACGCATGAGTGCCGATACGAATTAGGCACGCACACTGTTGGAAAATATGCCTTGGTGCGCGCGGGCGCAAGGGGGGGCGCGTAAGCCCTCGCGTGCACATGTGCGCGTTATGTGTGCACGCGTGTTTACATGCATACATGTGTGCACGTGTGCGTCCACCCACGCGCGTCGAGGTACAGGGTGGACTGTCCTCGGACACCTTCGAACTAACTGAATTTTGCACATGTTGTGTAAGGGACGTGAGCCCCTTAATTCGCGGAGTCCTCGGGCGCTCTTCAGCGCTTCTCTTGGGGCGCCGCGTGACTTCTCCAACGCTTTGGGGGCGTAGCCTTGGCTCCAAACGTTGTGCTTCAAAACGGTGTCGCGGGGCCTCCCTGGGCCCCCCCGAAAGCCTCTCGGGCCGTCTGGGGGGCCTGGGGGGCCAGCCCGAAAAACTAACGTCAGCTAGCGTCGAAAAGGCGTTGCATGACAGTCGCGCGCTCGTCCCCCCAGTCATAAGGACGTCCAGGACAACCGAAAAAGGGCCCCCCAGATGGCCCCATGACGCACCCCTCGCCCTCAAGAAGAGCCCAAGAGGCTCCCAAGAGGGCCCTGGAGACCGCCCCCGACCCCCAAGAGGCGACCAATAGTCCCCTAGAAGCACCTCAGCGGTCTCCAGGAGGCCTGGAGGCCGACAACAAGCAAGCGATAAGCCCAACATACCCACCACATAGCCCCAAAGACGCCTCCAGAATATCTACTGTTAACGATTTCGTGATCTCCTACATCGGCACTGCAATCAAACAAATAGAAGTAGGTTTTAACTGAATATATAGTGACTTTAAGGACACTTGCCTAGGTAGCGTTAAGGAAACGTCAAAGTAAGTTGGGAATTCACGTGCGATCGCGAGATAACGCAGGAGATAAGCAAGCTACCCTGCCCATTGCTACGCTGCGCTGTTCCCGAAGGGGGGGAGTAAGGAAGTAGGGGGGAGGTGGGGGGGGCGGGGGGGGGGAAGGAGAGAGGGGAGGGGTGGGGGGAGAGGGAGGAAGGGAAGGGACGGTGGGAGGGCGGGCGGGAGGGGGGGGGGGCAGAAAAAAAGGGAGGAGGGGGGAAAGGAGGGAGGGTGGAGGGGGAGCGAGGAGGGGGAGGGGGGAAGAGGGGGAAGAAAGGGAGACGGCGACGGCGGCGGCGGCGACGACGGCGGCAGCAACGGCCGCGGCGGCGGCGGCAGTGGCGGCGGCGGCGGCGGCGGCGGCGGCGGCGGCGGCGGCGACGATGGCGACGACGACGACGACGACGACGACGACGACGACGACGACGAAGAGGAGAGGGGGGCGGAGGAAGAACATATCGCAAGGTATTCTCACCTGCTGACGCCGAATGGGCACGCACGATCGGCGTGCAATCGAGCCGCCGACCTCGCGAGCAACGCTGGGGGCCGCGATCGAATCAAGTGAACCGCCTTTCTCGTCATCATACTCTCAATCCTCGGATCCGCCCGCCTCCCCCCATTGTTGCGAATCGCTCCCCTCATCCGTCTGCCACCGCGGCCTCGTCACTACCCCCGCGAGCTCCTCGCGGGGGAGGGCGAGGAGGTCGCGGAGGCGGGCCGAGCCCTCGACCTACCAACACCAAACCTCGTTTCGAGGAATCACCCCATGGTGCGCGGCTGCGGCCCCCAGCCAGTTGCGAAACAAATCGCTGAAAAAGAAGCTCCGCCATCGAGCATGGCCACCCGCGGCGCTGCTGGCCAGGACGACCCAGGAGAGGAGGACGGGACCCAAGAGGGAGGCGCGCTCCATGCAGGAGCGACTGGAGGCGGGGGCGGCAAGCACGAGCCGAGCTGGCCAGGGAGAAGTCGGCTGCAAGCGACCCCTGACCTATAGAGCAGGGGTGCAGACACACATGTCGGCAAACTGTAGCCTGGAAGCCCCATCGAAGCGTGACTCCCCCTTCGTTCGCATGCCCGTCCGCCCACCCATCCTCCGTCTCCCTCCCTTCCCTCCCCCTGCTCCCTCATTCCCCCCTCCCGCGTTTCCCTGCACCGTATTCTCCCCCCCTCCCGCCGATCCACCACGAGCCGATGCCCCCCCGTGCTCATCCTCATCCTCCAGGCAACAGCCCCCACCGCGCCCCGCACGGGCGGCAGGAGATGCCTAACTCTGCCTGCCAGCAATCACGCAGCGCAAGGCAGACTGCAGCGCTGGGTTAAGATCCTTCGCGGCACCCTTGCTGGCACGGAACACCTTGAGCTCCGCCACGATCGCTGCCCTCATCTTGTCCACGTTGTTCGCATGCGACTCCGCGTGCATGCAGATCAGGCACTCAGTCAACGAGGTGCGCGCTCTGAACACAATCGCGTTGGCCTTCTCGACGTCGTCACCGTTCACCTTCTCAGACATGAAGCCAGCCGCGGTCGTGTACTTATTGACAGCGTCCTCCAACGACTGGATTCTCTCCTTGAAGGCCACGAAGCTGAAGCCGTCGGTCGCAGTCTTCATATGGGAGGTGATCTTCGCCATGGTCGGGCTTGCAGGCAAGCCCTCAAACCACGGCTTCCCGTTCAACGTTGCGTACTGCATCTTGCCGACCGTCTCCATTGCCTTGGTGAGCTCGGCTTCAGACCGTGCCAGCTGGTCACGACCACTGTTGCTGACCATGGTATTGGCACCTTGGATCATGTCGCGGATGACCTCGGAGAACGTGTCTGGCAGCCCGTCAAACGCTCCACCATCCTTGGGCATGACGTCCGACATCTTCTGCGCCTTCAAGCCGACACCGCGAACTACATCTGGCCAATCGGGGTTCTGGTCGTAGTCAGGCGTGTTCATGAAGGCATGGGCCTCCTTCATCGTGGAAGCCAGGGCGGCGCCCAACTTGAAGATGGCGATGGTCTTCTCCATCGCGTCGTCCTTGTGCCCAGTGGCCGCGTACAACTTGTCGAGGCACTGCAACGCATCTTCATCGTACTCTTTGCCAAAGCCCGCTGTGGCAATCTCAACCACGAGACCGTCCATTGCCGCAGCGATGACAGGAAATGCAGCGGGGTCCGCCTTCTTGATCGGCCCAGCGCGGTAATTGTGGAGCATCTTGAGAAGCGCCTTGATGGCGTCAGTGCAGTTATCCTTGAACGGAATCCCCGTCTGAATGCTCTCCAGGCTGACATCATCCCACAAGGCCTTGCAAAGCTCCACCAACTTGGTCTTGCTGTTCAGCGCCTCCAACTGGCCAAGGAAGGCGGCCACGCTGCTGGTGGACTCGCTGACCGCCGTGTCCAACGCGAAGACCAGGGACGCCTCCTGCGCCAACTTCGAGATCGTCTGAACCCGACTTGCCTCCAGAAGCTGCGGGTCGGCGTCGGCACGCAGGGACATGCAAACCCTGCATACAGCATCCTTCAGGTCGCCATCGAACGCGTCGCAGTAGCCTTCTGGGAAGCCAGACGCCCACGCGATACACTTGCCGCAATAGACGCGCAGCGCGTCGATGTCGACGCCCTGCAAGCCGCCGTCGACCTCGGAGCAAGGGGGACACGTCGGGGCCAGAAACTAAAGTCCCCCGAGGCCTCTTGGCGCTGTGTACTTTCTAGGCCCCGACGGGGCCAACCATTAAAATCATGACGGGGGTGCGCGGGGGCACACTCTCGGGACGGGCTGATGGGGGGATGCGAGTGCGACGACTGGCTGGCGACGACGGGGCGACAACGGGAGGGGGCGACGACGAGAGGGAGCGAGGACGGTGAGAGGGTACATGCGAATGCCCTCAGAACCTTCGCATCCTGGAGCGCGGCGATGGCCTCGCGGAAGGTGGACAAGTTCTCCTTCAGGTAGGGGATCTTGCTGAAGAACTTCTGAAACGGTGTGCAATAGTATGGCGTCCTCCTAATAGTTGCGCCGACGTGGTGCAGCGCGGACGTGCCTGAAGACACCATCGTCTTGTGGAGGCGGTCGAAGGCGGCGTAGGCGTCCAGGGAGATGTCGAAGCAGGGCCCGTCGCCGAAGGCAACGGCCCAAACGTTGCGCAGGTCGAGCATGTCAGCGATGATGGCGGCGAGGTTCCCGCCGACATCAAGCAGATCCACGTCCATAAACTCGTCGCCCAAGGCATGCACGACGTTGCGCACGAAGGACGCCTGCGCGGCCCCCTTGGAGATGGCGCCGCAGATGGCCTTCTTCACGACAGTCTCGAGGAAGGTCTCCGCGCGCTCGTCCTCGTCGGCGACTGCAGTTGCTAACGTGGGGCTCAGTGGGTCAAACTCTGCATCGTCTGTCAGAATCGGCGACATGATGCGAACGAATTGCTTCCACTGGTTCTGCTGGTCGAAGCTCATCAACCGGCTAGTCACCAAGGCGGCCTTCGTGGCCTTCGGGAAGGAGGCGTTCGCACGGACCATGCAGTCCACGTACTCCGTGATTTTCCCCCAGTCGTACCCGACCATGTTGGCAGGCTGCAGCTTCTTGGCAGTAGAAACCTCATCGGCGAAAATCGTCAAGGTGGCCCCGTCGGCCTGCCCCTCAGCGGTCGCGTTCAACCGAGCAATCTTCTTGAGCAAGGCAGATATAGTCCTCCCGTCCACGGTGTCGGCCATGACGTCGTGCATCGGGAGCCGCGCCTTCCACTTGGCCAGGAGGTCGTTCCCCATGGCGCCGTCGTCTAAGTCGCCGCCCAAAGTAGACGCCCCGTCGTTGATGATGCTGGCCGCGGTGGGGCTGTCGAAAGGCTCCCTGGAATCGGACGTCGAAGTCTTCGCCCTCATGCGGCGCCTTGCAGCAGACCCAGGGCTGAAGGCTGCCACCCCAAGGATCCGCGAGCCAATGGGCGAAGTCGGCGCGGCTTCAGCAAGGCGATGCCCCGCCCTCGGGGCCGCGTCAGCCGACGTTGCCAAGAACGACGTGTAGGTCGGCAGCGTGTCGGAGGAGATCTTGCTGAGGAGCGCCTGAAGTCCGTGCTCCTCGAAGCCAGCCGTCGCGCAGCGAGCGAATGCATCTCCGCCCTGAGCGGCGAAGAGCTGGTTGCTTGCTGTCAAGACCTTCCCATTCATGGTCCACTCGCGGATGACCTGGAGCTCGGCCGTCCGCGGCGGCACGTCACCCTCGCCCTTGAAGAGGAACGACGTCTCCTCACCCTTCCCAGACTCGTGCGGCATGGTGACGACCGCGGTCTGGTCGCTGATCTTCTTCGGGATGCGCTCCGTCTGCAGGTCGGCCCGCACGGTGGAGGAGGACGCGACGGAGACGGGGCGCTTGACGATCAGGCGAACGCAAACATTCTCAGTCACGTCGGACGGCTGGAACGCTTGCTTGCCCGACTTCTGGGTGTTCGTAGCCTGCTCCAGCTTGGCCTCGAGCTCCTCGTCCGCCTGGGCCTGGTCGACCGTCGCGCGGAACGTGGCACCTGGGTTGGCGGCGACCACGGCCTTGTAGCACACCTTGCAGGCCTCGCCGCACGCGACGGGAGTGTCGTTGGCCGACCCCATCGCCCTGTAGAGGGCCCACTCCACCGCAGCCTGAAGGCAGCGGGCTAGCAAGCAAGGCAAACGCAAGGCAGGGGCGGAGGAGGAGGGGGAGGAGGAAGAGGAAAGGAAGGAGGAGCAGGGGGAAGATGGCCTCCTACGGCCCCCTACGGTCCCCCACGGCCCCCTTTACAAGAGTCCCCCAAAGCCATTTTGGTAGGGATCAGCACTCGGCCGCGTGCTGATCCCTACCAAAACGTCGTTCTGACGTTTAAGCCGCTGGCTTGGAAGATCGGGACTTGAATGTAAACTGCACTCTACTCATCTTGACCCCCATGCAGAGCAAACCCAGGAGGAAGAGGAGGAGGAGGAGAGGGGGGAGAGGGAGGGGACAGGAGGGGGAGGATGAAGACGTTTCTCCAGGTGGGGACGGCGTTTGCCCCTCTGGTGCCGGAAGCTCCCCGCAGCGGTAGCAGCTCGTGGCGTCGGCCGTGCTCAACCCCGCAGCCTTCGCCTGCTCGGCCGATGTCTGTATCTGGCGTTTCGTGCGACGCTGACGCTTGGATGTAGACGGGGCGCCAACTGGAGCCGAACCCGTGCCAGGTGACGTGGTGGCGGCCATCGCCTTCTGCAAGGGGGTGCGGGGCCTCGCGGGCTGCTGACGTTTCTGCCCTTTCTTGCCGACCTCTGGCATGGTCGCGCGGCTGGGGGCTGGGTCGGTTCCGAACTCTACAAAATCATAGGTTGTCGCTTGTCCTGCGAGCGAGCCCGCGGAACAGCAGAGCTGGGGCCGACAATGCCGCGGGCGGGGGGGGGGGGCGGTTGGGGAGGGGGGGCAACATGTTGTTAGGTATATGTCACGTTTGCCCTTGTTCCCCGTTCATCAGTGGAGATGATGTTGTCGGGTATGTGTCAGGTACGTGTGCTCTCTGCATTAGTGGAGATTGCGTTGTCAGGTATGCGTCACGTTTCATAGTGTTCTCTGTCTGCTCATGGCCCCCCATGCATCCCACACGTCCCCATGCGCCCCTAAAGCTCGCCGTGGCTCCCCATGTATCCCCATGGCTCTCCATGCACCCCCATGGGCCCATTGGCTCCCCTCGCATCCACTTGTCCACAAATGCTTCCCCGCGCGCCCCCCGTGCGTCCCCATGCCCACGCCGCCGCGAGCAGTCTCCGAGTCACCGACGCACAATACCAGGGAAACCACTTTCGGGCCGAGTCATCGCCGAGTCATCGCCGAATCACCGCCACAGAACACGAGGACAACCTGCTTCGGGGATGAGCGAGGAGGGATGAGTGAGGACGGAGGAGGGAAGACGGTGGTGGATGAGTGAGGAGGGATGGGGGGAAGCAAGACGAGGAGGAGGGAGAAGAAGAAGTGGGGGGCGCAGGAGGAGGGCGCGAGAGTCGGCACAACGGCCGACGCGCGAGGGAGCGGGGAGGTCGGATGTGACTCTTGGGGCATTAGTTGTTTAGAAGCATTTGGCTCCGTGGTGCTCTTGGCATCTCGATGCGGTGGCCCGATGGCTGGCAAGCGCAGGCCGAGCTCAGCGCTGGAAAAACTTGTGCGCTAAAACGCCGCTGCAGAGAGACTAAAGTTGTGCGATCGACGGCTGCAAGCTGCACTTAACCTAAACTTCGGCCAACGCAGATCCAACTGAACGGGTCATGCACGCACGCCCTCCCATTCCCGTCCTCCTTCCACATGCTCCATCCATCTCCCGAGTTACCGATGTCCCCCGAGCGCCGTGGGTGCGAGCCATCGCCGATCCACCTCGGGAGTACGTGGCTCTGGCCTACTGCGACGCATCGTGCAATGGGATCACAGAGGGGGCCACGGGCTTCATCACCGAGGCCATTGGCCCGCTCCGACTGTTGGGCACGTAAGTGCCACCATCAAACTCATGGATCACAATCGGGGTCACCTGGCGGCCCGCCCGAGCCGCTGGCTGCTGACGGCTCCTCCGCTGCAGACGGCCCCTCCGCTGACTGAGGCGGCTCCTCAGCTGGAGGCGGCGGGGGGTCGGCGGGCACGGGGTCCCCATCCGCCCGCAGCGGGGGCACGGGAGCGGCGGGCCCCTGATTCGAGTGACTGACCTTGAGGCGCTTCCTCGACCTGAGCCGAGCTGCTGTTTTCCACTCCTGCCTCGCCGCCTCCTTTGCCTCGGGGGTATCGGCTGCCTTGATCTGGAACTTCAGGGCGACGCTGTTGATAGCCTCGCTCATGCTGACGATCGTCTTATCCTTCTTTTTGCCCTCTGCCGTGAGGACCCTGACTTGCTGGGCCAGGGCGGCGTTTGACTCCCTCAACATCTCTTCGATTGTCTTGGCCATCGTGGGAACTGGGGCCCAGCTCTCAGCTGGGGCGGTGACGTGATGAATGGATGACACTCACCCAAGACAAGACGCCAAAATGTCTCGAGTCAGAGCAGCGGCGGGTGCAAGGGCGAGCGGGGGGGGGGGGAGGGGGGCGGCACTGGCTGCGCCAGCCTGGTGGATGGCGAAACAAGGGGGCGGGGGAGGGGTGTCGGTGGAGGAGCGTTCGGGCAACGTCGACCAATGTTTTTTTTCGGCGCGGGCCGAGCGGGGCCAACAAGATCAATATCGTGTGGGTCCGAGGCGACCAGTTGGTCACGAACTCAATAGACCGTGGAGCCACTTGGGCCACATCGGTCGATTGGATTTCGACGTTGCCCAATCGGCCCAAAACAGGGGGGCTCAACGGGGTCATCCGCGGCAAAAGGGTTGCCACGAGACTCGAATATGTGAGAACGTGCCGCTAGGTTTCTTGCATGAGATGCGACATGACACGAGAGGTGTCAGCAGGACCAGCTCGCTGGGGCAAGAGGCGAATGGTCTGTCACTTAGTCAATGCGATTCGGTACCACTCCATTTGACTACAACCCTTCCTCGTGTTACAGTGAGTGATCCTACACATCCCTGATCAGGGCAACCAGTCTGAGGGTCGTCTATAGATGGAGTGACCTTCTGAGTCCAGCCCCTGCGCCTGGGTCAATCCTTGTTTTTGTTGCGCCAGCAGCGCTGCTGTTGTACTGGGCTCATGTGTTGCGTCAGTAGCGCTGTTGTTGGACTGGGGTTCTCTTTTACGTCAGTAACGCTGCTGTTGTATTGGGGTCCTTTTTTGCGTCAGCAACGCTGCTGCTGTACTGGGGGGCCTCTTTTGCGTCAGTAACGCTGCTGTTGTTATGGTGCCCTTTTCTGCGTCAGTATCAGCAACGCTGTTGCTGCATGTGTTGGCGTCCCTGACCAGGGGCTGGACTCCGCCCCCCATCTCTGGAGTGACCTTTACCCCGTCTCCAACCTCCCTTTCCCTTCATCCCTACCTCTCCCCTCCCCCTCCCAGAACGTCTATAAACCGCAAGGCAAGGCCCTCTTGGCGCTCGGCCCCGAGGCTCGGGAACGGCGGGATGGGTCGGGCAAGTCGGGGCGTGAGGGGGGCAGATGACCACGCCAGCGGCAGTCCAAACGAAAAGTGGCCGTCGCCCGCAAGCGAAGCTGGACTCGCACCCGCCCCCTCCTACTCCTCCGCCTCCTCCTCCTCGCACCCCCTACTCATCCGCCCCCCCCCCCGTCCTCGACCTTCGTTGTCAACGCAATCCCCGCCACCCTTCTGTTGACGCCCCCCCTCCATTTCGTGCCCCAAATTCCCACCCCCGCCCTCCTGGCCCCTCCCCCCATCTCCCCCCACCCCCCCCCCCCCGCCCCCCCCTCCCTCCCTTAAGCCAGCGGCCCCCACGGCCGCTCTCGGACTCTCAAGCCGCACGGGCGCACCCCTCTGCACCCAGCTGCGCCTTGCCTCGACACGGGCCAGAAGCAACAGAACCTCAAGTGCAGGCGGCGCCTCCCCAACGTCACCCCGCGAACAGCACCGCGCGCTAGGCGCGCGTGCCAGAGCTTCAGCGCGCGCGCGCACCTACCCCATGCCATACTTTTCACAGCGCCATACTATAGAACACACAGACACTTTAATTGCACATTCGCGTTGCCTCAGAGCTACATGACAAATGCGACGTAACTACAACTAAACCGCACTTACACGACACTGCGCACGGTATGTCAAACACAGTGTAAGTACAACTAAACGCGTTTAGTTGTAACTTAACCGCGTTTAGTTGCAACTAAAGTGACGGTGGCATGTGTGCGTGCGCGCGCTCTTAAGTGCAACTAAAGTGGGTTTCGGGCATCACGTGCCGTTAGCTGCAAGACACTTCTAAGTGCAACTAAAGTTACTTTACGCCCAGCCGCGAAGCTCACGAGAAGAACGCACTAAGAAAGGTTGCATGTGTACGCCCGCGCGCGCGCGCGCGCGAGCAAGTAACTCGCGCGGTTACCACGCGGCCCGCGCAGTGCTGGAGGAAAGGGGTGCGTGGCAGTCCTGGCGCTAGTGCTGCTCGCACACATCTCGGGCGCCCCCGCCGACCGAACGCTCTATTTTCACTGTCCCAGCCCCCTGGAACAAACATCAATGCAATGCGCATTGCACAGTCACGCACACTCATGCATCAGCAGGCTTGTCCCACAAGTCTATGAGATCTGCCTGCTCCTCGCCCTCGCCGCGAGCGACCTCCTGATCCCTCTCCCGAGAAAAGAGGATCTCGTGGGCAGGGTGAACCCGAAGCTGATTCCTAAAATGCAGGCGGCGGCCCACTGGGCTGCAAAAGTTCCAAACCCTGAGCTGATCTTTATGCTCTTCCCTGGTGTGTGTCGACATGGCAAGGCTTAGCCACGACACCAAGAAACCTACGGGCCGACCGCCCCTTGGAAGCCCATCAGGGCCATGGAGGCGCTTCGCCAGTGGCGTGCGCCGAACCACGCAAACATGGTGATCGGGGTTGCCGCAAATCGCCTCAAAATTCCTGTACTTAGTATAATATTTTATAGTGCCACCCGCCACCCTGATAGAAGCATCAGCAGCGATAGCCTTTGCCCTCGCTGCAACGGGATGGGGCGGTGGCGGAGGCGGAATCTCGTCACCTGGCGGGGGGGCGGCAGGATGCGGCAGCTCGGGCGCAGCAGGCGGGCCCCCTGCGCCCCCGCCAACTGGATCTGGCTGGACGTCGCCTCCGCCGCCTGGCTCGCCCACTGGACCCCCAGCTGGCGCAGCGAGAAGGGCGGACACCTCCCCTCCGAATCTAAGACCACGTGCTCATCACCAACCCCGCCCTAGGCCCAGGCCCATGCCCCTTGGCGACTTCGCTGTTGGCCCCGACGGGGCCGCCCAAAAGTCCAGAAGTCCATTAGTTACGACGGGGCGCCATGACGCGCAGGGCGCGCGTCACGACGCGCGTGGCTGCCACGGTGTGCGTGCGTGCGTGTGTGTGTGTGTGTGCCTGTGGGTGTGTGTGTGTGCGTGTGCGTGTGCGTGTGTGCGTGCTCCTCCTGGTCCTGCCCCTCCCCCCCCTCCTCCTCCTCCTCCTCCTCCTCCTCATCCTCCTCCTCATCCTGCTCATCCTCATCCTCATCATATTCCTCCTCCTCCTTCTCCTCCTCCTCCTCATCTTCCTCTATCTCCTCCTCCGCCGCCTCCGCCGCCTCGTGGTCGTCGTCGCCCTCCTCCCCCCCTCCTCCTCCCCCTCCTCCTCCTGCGCCTCCTCCTGCGCCTCCTCCTCCTCCTCCTCCTCCGTGATGCGTGGTGAGGTTTTATAGCCTCGCACCCCAGCATAATGTAAAGCAACGCCGAGTCTAAGGCTTAGACTCGGCGTTGCTTGACATCGCGCTGGCATGTGCTGGGGGCCTGACAAACGGACAAACCTACACCGACTCATCGGAATGGCACCCACTGGCGCCCGTGCAGCGCACACCCCTAAACTTCCTGTGGTTTCGGACTCCTAAACTTGACGGCACCAATAAGGAGATGGTGCGAGGGGCAGCTTTCTACCTACAAAAGCGTTCAGGAGAGAAAGGTGCATGCACTCTCCGCTGATTGTGCCCTCCCCCCATCCTGCCCCTGCTCTTGCTCCTGATCGCGCTGGCGCCCGTGCAGCGCACACCCCTAAACTTCCTGTGGTTTCGGACTCCTAAACTTGACGGCACCAATAAGGAGATGGTGCGAGGGGCAGCTTTCTACCTACAAAAGCGTTCAGGAGAGAAAGGTGCATGCACTCTCCGCTGATTGTGCCCTCCCCCCATCCTGCCCCCCCTTGCTCCTCTGCCCCCCTCTTCCCGCCCCCCCCCCCCCCCCCTCCTCTCATCCCACCCCCTATCAGGAAGTTGGCATGGCTTGCAGGAGGAGGAGGAGGGGAAGGAGGAGGGGGAGGAGGAGAAGGAGGAGGAGGGTGAGGAGGGGGGGAGGAGGATGGGGAAGACGGGTGAGTGGGAGGGGTGTGAATGGGAGGGGGAGGGGGAGGGGGAGGGGAAGGAGGGAGGAGGATGGTGGGGAGGGCGAGGAGGAGGTGGAGGAGGAGGAGGAGGAGAGGAGCAGGAGCAGGAATATGAGGAAGGGGGGAGGGGAGGGGGGGGGGGGGGGAGATAGGAGGGGGGGGGAGGAGGAGGAGGAGAGGAGGAGGAGGAGGAGAATGAAGGAGGAGGAGGAGGAGGGGGAGGAGGAGGAGGAGGAGGAGGAGAAGGAGGGGGAAGGAGGAGGGGGATGAGGGGCAGGAAAAGGAAGAGGAGGAGGAGGTGGAGGTGGAGGAGGAGGAGGAGGAGGAGGAGGTGGGGGAGGAGGAGGATGAGGAGGGGGAGGAGGAGGAGGAGGAGGGGAGGAGGGGGGGAGGAGGAGGGGGAGGAGGAGGAGGAGGAGGGGGAGGAGGAGGGGGGGGAGGAGGCGGAGGGGGGGTGAGAAGGAGGAGGGGGGAGGGGGGGGAGGAGGAGGAGGAGGAGGAGTAGGGGAGGATGAGGAGAGGGGAGAGATGATGATGATGAGGCGGAGGAGGAGGAGGAGGAGAGAGGGGAAGGAGGAGGGTGGGAGAGAGGGAGGGGGGAGGCCGTTCACGATCCCGAGCCCGCGCCAGCGGGCCCACGGGTGGTTGCCGAAGCCCTGGCGGGCCCACGCGCCGCGCAGCTGGCTCTCGAGCGCCGCCGCTGCTTGGAGGATTTGGACCAGGAGGATGAGGATGAGGATGAGGAGGGGGGAAGAGGAGGAGGAGGAGGAGGGGGAGGGGGAGGAGGAGGAGGAGGAGGAGGAGGAGGAGGAATAAGCGGAGGTTTACCGAAACCCTGGCAGGCCCACGGGCCGTGCAGCTGGCTCTCGAGTGCCGCCGCCGCCGCGGAAGCAAGCGGCGGCCCCGCCCCGTCGCTCCGACGGGGCCGCCGCCGCCCCGCTGGGCCAAACCAGCTCATGACGGGCATGGAGTACCAAAACAGCTCACGACGGTAGGATCCTCGCCCCGCGGGCACGGGGCGAGGACCCTACCGTCCCTCTGGGCGGAGGTGGCCTGGATACCTCTTCCAACCCCCATTCCCTCTCCCCCTCGGGGCGGGCCGTTGCTGTTTCCGACATGGCCCAACACCTACCAAGTCCCCCGTGGACCGCCCGAAACAAGCGATCGGCCACGAACCCAATGCCAAATGGTCACGCTGGGGCCAGATCGGTCGCTTCAGCCCAGATGCGACCGAAGCTGTCTCGACGGGGCCTGCATTCTGCAGACCCGAGAGGGTGCCAAGATCGGCGATCTGTGAATCCAGAGATTCGGTTGGACTGCACCCCCCCACCCCATGGCCCCCCTGATTGGGACTGCACTTCCCTGATCAGGGCAACTCGCCTGGGGGTCGTATCTGGGCTGGCTGGCGGGAAACCGCGAAGCGTCACGTATCGGCGTTGACGGCGAGGACGAGGCAGGAGGAGTGGGCAAGGATGGAGGGGGGCGAGAGCGGTAGGTGCTGAGATCGAGGGGATGGGGGGGCTACAAGAGACAGGACGGCGTGGACAGGAGCAAGGGGGGGCGGGGACGAGGGGGTGACGGGAGGCAGAGACGAGAGGACGGGGGGGATACAGGAAAGGGAAGCAAGTGGGGGATGCTACCGCCCCCTGCCCCCTGCCCACTTCGGCGGCAGCCTCGAGCTCATCGATCAAGTCATCGAGCTCATCATCGCCGTCGCTCACGTCGGCGTGGGCGTGGCCGCCGCAGACGGCGTCGCCGCCCCCGTGGTCGCTCTCGCCCTCGGGGAGGTCAACGCCATCGATGTATTCCTCGACGTCTGCAGCGGGTAGGTGGTGCTCGCCAGGTCCAGGGGCCCGCGCGGCCGCGCCATGGCGCGGCCAGAAAGGCGCCACCGCATAGCCGTCCAGAGGCAGCACAGGAACAACCAACGGCGAAAAGTTCGCGATCGGCCTGCCCGAGTGCTCCAGGACGTACCACCGAACAGACCAGTGAGAGCAATCCAACAAGAGGTCTAGCGCCTTGAACAATGTCTTAAACTGGCACGTCGCCTTGATGTAGACTCTGTCGTCTCTCGGTGGCAGATCCTCAATCGGCTCCACGGGCACCACTTCCATGAAGGTCGGGCGGTACGGCGACCAATACATAAGACCAAAATGCAGCCAGCTGTACAAGTTCAGGTCCTCCCCGTCGGGGCCGTCGGGGCCATGGCCGATGAGCTCGGCCACGAGCCTGCCATCGCCCAACATCGATCGTGCTGAAGTCCCTGGGCTGCAAATACCTTTCACCAGTCCGAGGAACGTCGCGACGCGGTTCGCCAGATCCTTGCCCCGACCAACGCATATGCACATCTCGGCGTCACAGCACTTGCGGTATTCACTGCCCCTCATCCCGTCGAGCTCTGTTGGCGCCGCTGCATGAGTGATGAAATCGTGCGCCCACTTGTTGAAGGCCTCCAGCCCGCAGCACATGCCAGAGGACTTGTACCTCGTAGATGCCCACGCCGTAGCACGACCAATATCCGCAGATACCTGATAGGAAGGCTCTACCACTCGTAGCTTTCCAGACGCAGGGACGGCAACGAACTTCATGCCAATATCAATGTGAGCTGCCGCGCGTTCACTCATCATGGCGACTTGGTTCTTGCCGACGCCTTCTCTGAAATCGTTAATGGCTTTGATGTCGTTCTGGAGCGAATGTCGATCTCGCTCTCGTTTGACCCTCATCACTGCGCGGCACGACGTGAGCGCCTCATCCAGCGACGGAAGCTGACAATGCGGAATCCGCGAACAAAGCTCGACCTCAGTACACCCAACGTTCTGGATCGCCTCCGTCACCGACTGTTGGCGCTTCGCCTTCCGACCAGCCTCGGAGGGCGTCGGGCCGAATGAAGACTTCGTGGTCACCAGGCCGGAACGATTCGCGAGAGCCGCAGATGCCCCGATCTCCTTCAGCTGGGCCTTCTCGTCGGGGGGCAGGTTCCAGTACTCAACCGCCCATGTGGAAAAGTCGGCAACGCCGCTGCTAGCCAAAAGCTTCTTCCTACAAAATGCCCTCCATGCGCCACCTGCCGTAGTCCACCTCTTGCCGTCTCCTGGTTCAAGACATCGGCGTTCGGTAGACTGACCCAACTCGTCAGTAAATAGTTGGCGCGATGCTCTGGCAGCGGACTGTTGGAACATCCATTCGTTTGACATGTCAGAGAAGGATATCTGCGGAAGGTGGGCTGATTTCGACTCCACTGTTCTCCTGATCCGAGCGAATGCTCTCTCCTGCGGTCCGTTGTCGCACGGCCACTTCAACATAAAGGCGAAGATCTTGGCATCGCACAGGTCACCTTGAAGGTCTGGATGGTCGGTGATGATCCTCAAAGATATTGGGTCCATCAGGTGCTGGGACATCTTGCTCACTCGATCCTTCGTCCCAGGCCGCTCCAAGGTAAGGAAAAGAACCCAAGGAAATCCTCGTCGCTCAACCCTCCAAAGATATTCAACTGCGCACCCCAATCGAGATAACACCTGGAACGAAAGAGCCCTGAACTCGACGGTGAAGCAATCGTCGGGCATGCACATCCACATGGCATCAACAGTAAAAAGCCGCTCCAGCTTGTCATAACAAAGTTCACCCACTTCGCCCCGCGCCAATGCCAGCGGTGCGAAATCACGGACCAGAAGGTCAGTGGAACCTGCCTGTATCTTCCGAGCGGCCTCCGCAGTCTGGCGTCGCTCGAACGCAGGGCCATTGAGGTAGAAGTTGTGGTCCCGCATGGCCCTGAGGCACTCCATGGCGTTCCTCTGCAGCACGAGAAGACCGAGAGGATTGCACGACCACCACTTCCAAGCAACCTTCCTGAACCGTGCATTCTTGATGGCGCCATCTTCGGCATCGTGCTTCGGGGTGAAGTCCGCCGCCTCCGCGACTTCACCGTCGGCAATCGGTGGGTCGCCATGCCCTGGCTGAGCCTGCGACCGAACAGACATGCGCAGCGCATCTGTCCCCCCTCGCCCCCTGGGCAGAGCGCCGACCGCGTGCCCGTGCGCCAGCATGTAGCGCCTGAAGGCGAACGAGAACACACGATGGCACGCCTCTCCGATGGCCGTCTCGTCCGTGGCGACCTCCCCGCGACACCACTTAGCCTCCTGATACCTCGTCGGCATGTGTGGCGCCAAAGCCGTACTCAAACCAGACGCCAGCACATGGACTATAGCGTGTCTGTCCGTCTCATCAATGCCGAGGTCGGCGACGTGGTAGCACACGTGATCGCAGCGCCTCCAGTCGCCGTTGGGGAGGGTGGACAACAATACCTTGCTCATAACGTTGGAGCGTTCACTCGAGCTGCAGAAAGTCCGCAGAACAAGCCTGCGATGGAGCGATGCCTCATCCGAGCAGCTGCCCTCCAAGATCAAACACCTCTCCTCCACGTCATCGTATATGCACTTCTGCCAGCACATCATATCACCCGTCATCTGGAAGCTGAGCTGGTGGTTGAGCATGCCCCGCAAGCTGGCAGTCAGGGGGGCCATTGCCTTCTTGTAGGACGTCGAGATGAGGTGGCTCCCGCAAGTTTCCCTGTGACGGTCCCAGTTTCGCTGCTGCCCAACAATGCGCTCCCCCTTCTCGTTTGTAAGATCACCGTCTGTCATCGCGAAGCGGGCCGAGGACTTGAAATGATTTGACCAAGCAGTCGCCCCAGAAGCTCGTATCTGACTCAATGCCACGCATTCACCAGTCCCACGCTCCAAAAGGCCGAGGGACGCAGATTTCGCATACACCACTATCGTGAGAACATCGTCCATCGTCACAAGCATGCTGTACCGTAGCTTCGTCTGCATCGTCTTACAAATGCCGCTGTACGTCGGGGCCTCCACAGCAATGCGCACGCGACGCGGCGCCACCAAGGCCGCGCTGCGAATGCTGCTCTCGGTGGACCCCGCTGGCAGCGACGTGGTGAAGCCCAGTATCGAAGCAGATCCCCTCAGCGTCGCGCTGAAGTCGGCGGCGTCATACGCAGCAAATTCAGCATATTGGTGAAGATGATCCGAGGGAACAGTCACAGCCAAATATCGTTCAATATCAGCCTGCATCAAGGAATCCATGATGGAAGTCGAGGCGCCGAGCACTGCGACGCAGCGGGTCACCTTCTTGGCGTCCATCTGCAACTTGTCGCTCCGCGCTGCATTGGACAGCAGCCTGGATTGAGCAGGGCCGCTGGAGAGGACGAACTCAGCAACTTTCGCCATGTCATCGTCCACGCACGAGTCCGCATCGACATGGCTTAACTGGAGAGCAGCGCCAAAGTTGCGCGCAAGGCTCGACGCGTCCATGAAGCCCGAAAACCTGGCTGGCACAATGTTCATCAAGCCTCCCGTGCCACGAAGAACCACCGATTGCTCACGGAGGCGCAGCACTCTCTGATCAGACGGCCGCGGATGCACCTGTTGAGGCGTCGGTGGCGCCTCAACCGCCACCACCGCCAGGACCTCCTTGGGAGGTCGGCCCCTCCTCCGCTTCGTCGGCGGCGGCTCCGCGAGCGCGGCCGCGGGCAGGGGGGCGGGGCCCGCGGGCCGCGCTGGCGCTGCCAGCGACGCGAGGTCGCCCCACGCCTCCGCCGCGGCCGCCCCCGCTGCGGCGCGCGGCTGGGTGGGGGCCGCCAGCGACGCCAAGTCGCCCCACCCAGCCTCCGCCATCGCGGGCTGCGCGTGCTGGCAGAGAAGGGGGAGCAGCGAGACGAGGGCAGAATATGAGGAAGGGAATGGGCGGAGGGGAAAACGAGAGAGGGGCGAGGTGAAGCGAGGCGAGGCCATAGTGAGAGGAGAGGCAAGTGCGTAGAGGGACGAGGCGAGGCCACAGTAAAAAGAGAAGGATGGGAAAAGGGTGAAGGAGGGAAGGGGGGACAGAAGGTGGATAGGGGAAGGGCACCGGGTAGGGGGGGGGGGCGCGGCGCGGGGGGTGAGGGGGGGAGAGGACACGATATGAGGGACATGGGGGGCAGGAAGGGGGGGCAGGAGGAGCGGGGGGGGAAGAAGACGGATGGGGGAGGGGAAGGAACGGGCAGACGGGGAGGAACTGTCGTCTTTAACGCCATCCCCTACCCCCCCCCTCTCTCCTCCCATTCGTTCCCCCCGTGCCCTCTCCGCCCCCCTCATCCCTCCTCTCCGCCCCCCCCCGTCCCCCCCCTCTCTGCCGTTGCGGGGCGCGGCCGCGGCCGCGGGGGCCGCGCCCCCTCGGGCCAAAGCCCTCGCGCGCGGCGGCGGCGAGCGCAAACGAGCGGAGCGGGGGCGGACGCAGAGGCGAGGGAGAACGGAGGACGCGGAAACGAGGGAGAATGGAGGAGGCTGCAATTCGGAGGGGGAGGACTTGTAGTTTGAACTAGTGGGGAGGACGAAGGGGGGGGAGGACACTGACGGAGGAGCGCAGGAGGATGAGCAAACGTGAACACCGACGGTCCACACCGAGAGGTGATGCGTCATAACGCTACTGCGTACCTTGTGGTATATATACGTATACCAAGGTTAAAAATAACGTTCCACCTCATAATTCAACTATTATCTACTCTTTTTTAACTCACTTAAAGCATATTTTAGACTATGGCACTAAAGCTTCTTTAAAGTCATATAAATGCTAATTGAATTTATTCTTCACCACCCCCTCATGTAGGGATATAGAGATCGTCAAAACTAAACGCACTTGCCGCGCAAACCGCCGCCCCCAGACGCCGACGCCACCCCGATCCCCGCATCCGCGCCGGGCGCCCTCTCAACGACGCCCCTTTCCGGCGTAAAACCCGTAAAACCCCTTGTGTCCATGTGCTTTTCCTCGCTCTGAACGACGCGGCGCGGGGGCCGACCCGCGCGCAGCTGCCCGCCTGCGACGCCGAGGCGGTCGAGAGCGGCGAAGGCGGCTCGAGCTACGAGAAGAAGCGGGCCAACGCGGCCGGACTGGAGCTGCTGCTGACGACGCTGGGAGAGTCCGCGACGAAGGGGCGCCCGGTCAGGGCGGCGGAGCTGTTCGACGGCGCGCCGTGCGACAAGTCGGTCTGGAGGGCCGCGGGCGAGAGCATGCGGGGGCGCATCGCCGGGCGCTCGAGGGCGTTCGAGGACCTCGAGAAGGCAAATGAGAACGCGACGATCAGCGACGACCATCACGCGCCAGGCGCACCTGCCGCTGAAGTTCTCGGGGGTCGAGGAGATCGACCGCGCGCGCGTCGTCAGCTCGGCGGGCAACCAGCGCCGCAAGAACGCATTCGCCAAGGCCCTGGGGGCGCAGCGCCCGAACATCCACGAACGCGAGCATCGGAAGAACCGCGAACAACGCGGAGGCGCTCGGCCATGGCGTCTCGGAGGACGTCGGCATCAATTTCGAGCTCAGGCGCGGCCGGCTGGCATCGAGGAGGGCGACGAGGAGGGCGGCGGGGGGGGGCGCAGCTCTCCGCGCTGCGTCGGCGCCCGAGGTCCACCTAGGCGAGGATGGAGCCAGCATGGAGGAGCTCGACCAGATGGACGACGAGGCGCTGGAGAGCTCCGCGGCGATCGCGCAGCACATGCTGAAGTTTCAATCGAAGGGCCGCGGCAGGGCGCGCGGCAGGACCACTTCGCGCTCGGCGGGTTCGTCAGCGAGCTCGCGGGGCCGACCGCGCAGCCGCGGCGGCAAGGGCGGCGACGACCCAGAGAGGAGGCCCAGGATCGAGAAGCTGAAGAGGACTACGCGGAGCGCCAGTCGTGACAGGATCGGGCACTGACATGGCGACCCCGCTCGCCCGAAGTCCACCAAGGCGGCGCCGCCGCCATCGGACCGCCCCAAGTCGAGCTACTTCAGTTTCAGCGACTTCGGCGACGAGAAGGCCGAGGGCGGCGACGTCAGGGTCGCTGAGGCGTTCGCGGTGGCAGCGCCCTCGAGTTCGGCGGCGACTAGCCCCAGGCTCGGAGCGCGAGCGCAGGCCGGGCCCGAGGCGCAGGCGGGGCGGGGCGCGCAACCCGGCGACGAGACGCTCGGGGCCAGCGCGGGCGAAGGCGACGGGGCGGCTGGACTGCCTTCTCTCCCCGTCATGGGCAACCCCTGCGCGCGCGCGCGCCGAAGGCGGGCGCCAGGCTGTTCAAGGGCGCGAACGGGGCCCAGCGGTGCTTGACGCGCCGCCGGCGCCTGGCGGACCAGCTCGGCATCCACGTGGTCAGGGCGCGCCGGGCCGACGGATGGCAACTCTGGAAGTGCGTCGCGGCATCGCCGCTGTTCGCCCCGTAGCGCAGGGCCAGCCACCCGAATGAGGCCCCGGCGCAGGAGATGGGGAGGTCGCCCGGCAGGGCCTGCAGGGCGGCGAAGACCGCACCTAAGGCGAAGTGCGCGGCAGCGGAGGTGGCGACCAAGAAGGCGCGCGAGGTGAAGTCGCCGCCCGACGACGAGAAGCTAAGCTGGGCGAGAGACCGAGCGCCGAGGAATACTCGCGCGAGGAGGACAAGTCGGAGGAGCGCGCGTTCGTAGCGTACCCGGCGGACTTCGACCAGGACGTCAGGGGGCTCGACGCGGAGCGCGCCCCCCTCGGCGGCGAGAAGACCAAGGTCGGGAAGTTCAGAGGTCGCTCGCTCGCGGAGTTCGCGAACAGCGGGCCCGGGGCACGCGCCCGCGGCAACTCCCTCATCAGGTCCGCGATGGCCGGCGACACGTCCAGGCTCAGCGTCGACCAGCACCCCTTGGCGCGGTTCCCGATCTACCTGATGGCGCTCGGCGAGCGGGGCCCCCGGTCCCCGGAGGAGGGCGGGTGCTCCCAGGTGAGCATGGTCGGGAACGCGGCGGAGGCCAAAGACGTGTTTGGCTCAGCTTCCGGAAACGCGCCCGGGGTCGCGGCGCTCGACGCGGCCTGCCAGATGACCATGCACGGCGCGCTCTGGAGGATCAAGCACAGGGAGGCGCTGCGGGCCAGGGACCCCGAGCCGATTCCGAGGTCGCGCGAGACCATGTTCCGAGGGGTCGGCGGAGACGCATGCAGCGACGCGGTATACAAGATGCCAGCTGGCATCGCCAGCAGCGCGTTCACGATCGAGTCCGCAGAATTCGGCCAGGAGGCGAACATGCTCATCTCCGAGGACACGCGGTCCAAGCTCGGGGGTCATTGACATGGCGAACAGCGTCGCCAACTACAACGCCATCGGCGCGCGCGACGTGCCGCTCGTCCGCACTGGCAGTGGCCACCTGGGAGTCAACCTGCTCGACTTCCCAGATCCTCAGCTGTTCGATCCGAGGTCCCAGGTCTACTTCGAGCAGGACGGGCCTACTCGTCGCGGAATCAACGCGGGCGTCATCGACGCAGCGGAGGTCATCGACGGGCACGTCAGCGAGGTCAGCACCAAAGCGGAGATCGACGAGGTCTTCGAGGATCCCAAGATGATCGACTGGGGCGACGACCCGCCCCGGCGGATGGCGAGCTCTGGGGGGGCGAAGAAGGTTCAAGCGATGCGCGAGGACATGAAGACCGTCGAGATGCGGACCAGCGACGCGATGAACGGCGCGGCCGCCCGCGCCGGGCAACTCCCCAGGGGGGCGGCGCTACTCAGGCAATTTTTCCGCGGCCAGTTCGGCATCGCCATGCCCGCGAGCCCCAGCTTCGGTTGCGACTGCGGGCAGCCGCTGGACCTCGAGAGCGGTTGGGACGGCGCCGCGCGCAAGGGCAGGCAGGGGGCCTGACGCCAGCTCTTGGAGGAGGATCCGGTTTGACGATCATCACCATGCCCTGCGGCCCGTGGGGCGATTGGGGAAGGTGCAACATCTCCAGGGGAGGCGCGGCAGCCGCGACCGTCCTCGAGGCGCAGGAGGCCACTGGGCCCCTGCTCGCTCTATCTGATCAAGTCGCGGTGAATCGAGTTGGACCAGGGGGCTCATAGAGGACGGCGCCCCGATGGAGTGCACTCCACGCGGCTGCGAACTCGGCTGCAGGGGCGAAGCTACAGGCGGCCCGCGCTACAGGCCCAGGGGGGCTCGACCACGTCGGTCGCCATCTACGAGGCAATCTACAGCGCGAAGTGCGACCGCTCCCACGAGCACGCGCCGCTCGAGAACGAGAAGAAGACAGGGCCGCAACCAAGTGGCCCGATGAGCTGGGCCGCGCCATCCTCTCGGCCATCGAGCAGCGAATCGCCCTGGAGGTCGACGAGCAAGTCCGCGCCAACATGATGGAGCGTTTTCCCGTGGAGGGGCCGGCGGTCAAGAAGGGGGGGCGGCGCGGCAAGCAGCCGAAGCGTAAGGGGGCAGAAGAACAGCGACCTGAGGCGGATCACCCAACTGAGGCCGGGCCTCAGGACAAGGGCGGGCGTCGCCTGAACGCGGAGCTCCACGG